AAGAGGTTCATAGTTTGAAAGTTTGCATATTTATTTAACATTTAATTATTTTCGAGATTCGCCTAGGCTAACCTAGAGTCTAGACGTATCGAACTCTTGCTTTTAAATAAAGCATTTGAAACAAACATAAATCCTTACCCAATCAGTTATGAAGCTACACAAAAATTAATTGCGTTGACGGCAATAGAGAATCGATTTGAATGTCGTAATTTGTCGACTCCGAATATTCCCACTGACTTATGCAAGTATTGCGAGAAACGACCAAAATTAGGGTCAACAGGTTTTTATTCTACTTCCATGTGCGCACGCGTTCGACTGGTTAGTGGAATTTTTAAGCCGTACACTTCCATAAAAACTTGATACGTCTATTATAAATCATTTATTAATTAATGCTACTTATGAATTGTAAGGTTTCGTTACCGTAGAAACTTTATTTTGTTTAATTAATAAAACAAAAATATAAGTGAATATGTTTATGATTTATTATACGTTTCCACGCTTCTACCACTGAAGAACAAAATTTGCCAGACGTAGTCCTGGTACACACGTCTTACATACAAAAAAAAAGTAAATCATTTTCGACTCCACTTGAATACACAATTTTTTATCAAAATCTGTTTAATTACGAACACATGCACAGAAGATTTATATATATCCCAGCTGTTTATTTCTGCACTGCCACCATCGGCCGGGCTGATTTGTGAATCTAAAGTCTAAACCATCCAGGGAGCCACCTAAACGCATACGAAAAAAATTATTCAAATCGGTCTAACCGTTTAGGAGGAGTTCAGTGACATACACACATGCAGTAGAATTATATTATATAAACTAGTGGACCCCACAGACGTTGTCCTGCATGATATTTAAAGCGATTAGGATATTAAGCAAAGTATGAAAGTACCGACTGCAGTGCCATCTGCCGGGCTGATTTGTGAATCTAAACCATTCCCAGATCCCCTTGAACACACACAAAAAATTTCATCAAAATCGGTCCAGTCGTTTAGGAGGAGTTCAGTCACATACACACGCACAGAAGAAATATATATATTAAGATATTAAGCACCAGGGCACCGTGCAATTCGTCACCGCCATATTTAATTAATCCGTGATATTTAAATTGACCCTAATAAGTTTAAAATAAATATAAGGAAGTGAAAATATTAATTAAACAATACAATTGATTTTCAACTCTCCGCCTTGCACCATTCTTTCATAATGGCCATAACATTTTGTCTGTTCCGCTGTCTGCTGATCATCAATTCTTTACGTTACATTCACAACTTTTTGCTTAATATGAAATCAATTTGTTATGATACTACTGACCGAGTTCTTGCTCTAATACCCAATACTAATCTATATTTATTTATAGCTAGTGAGGATGACAATTATTTAGTAATACTAGTTAGTTTCTAGAATGTTTGTCGTTCGCAGTTTCTTTTATACTAATAGGGAAAGATTTGTATTTTGTTTGTAACGCATAACCTCAAAAACTACAATGTATTTCATTAATTTTAGAATTACATGTTATCGCTGAGTAACATAGACTTTGGCTAATAAAAAAAAGTTCAGCCGTACAAGTCTGGGACAGGCTGGTAGTTTAATTTATAAAGTAGTAAATAGTTAACGGGTCATAAGCGTTGTTATATAGTTTTGCTTATAAACAGAGTAAAACATTCTTGGATCGATGCTTTTAAGAAAATCTTTTGATATATGTTTATATAAGATTTATTTTAATGTAACCAGCAATAAATAAACTAATAAAAAATTATACAAATCGATTTATTTGTTACAGCATAATTCAACCGTTAAACATTGATTTTTGGTTAACTTTAACTTTCCATTAAATTACATGTATGCATACTAATTATATGTATAAATTATAAAGAAATTCTTAAAAATAAAAATATAATTGAGAGCATTCTACTTTTTTTTAATCTTAGCAAAAACCATAAACTATTTAGTCAGTCTAGCGACAAATGCACGTAGCATAAAGAAAAGCGACAATGTTTTTCCTACATTAAATAATTTTGCAATTTAAAATGTTTGTGCAGTAGACTGAAGAATAATAATTGCAGAACAAACGGTGATAAAATCAAGATAGTTCCACATTCTACTCCGATATGAACCCAGAACCTAGATATAAACCTTAGACAATTTAATACCGTTATTCGCGCATAGGTGGCGTTGTGTAACAAAGTTCACGCGAAATTAAACATTGCAAAGGAATGTATGAAATGGTTTCTCTACAATTATGTCATTAAGTTTACAGTTACGCTGTTGTCAATTATGTATAATTGTTTAGTTGAATTGGTTAACAGCATAGTCCAATTACTATTATTGCGACTGTACTGGGAATTTCTGTCAATAGGTTTAAGTGGAGTAATTAACAAAAACAGTTGTAATTAAAGCTTTCGTTGTACTGTGGCTTAAATAGAGTAAATATAAAGATTCAAAATTAATAAAAAGATTCCGATACCGGGAATCGAACCCGAGCCTCCTGGGTGAGAGCCAGGTATCCTAGCCACTAGACCATATCGGATGTTGATCTAGTCTCAGATTTTGCGAATTAACAATAAAAAATCGTATTTTAAATTTTTGGCTTTTAAGATTTAGAATTTTTCGCAGTTTTTGTTTACAACAGCTTACGGCTTGCTCTTAAAATGGCAATATATGTTTGTTCCACAAACGTCAAAATTACATAAAGTGTGTAAGAAATGTAATTATTTTTACAATAGCGAGGTTGCGCCGTTCTCATGTGTTTTGCCTATGTCTTGAGAAATCTGAGAAATTTAATAAGGGCCAGTTTCAGAAGTTTAATCTTGGCTAATCAACGCTTAATTGTGACATATTAGGAAATTAAGATCTGTAGGAGTTATAGCCTATCATCTATTTGGCATGCGATTCTAACTCGTTTGACTTCCAGCTGAATGTGTCCGTCTTTGTGAACGACAAATACTTGTTCGTATGGTCAACTGGCATGTCTTTGACATACTAAACTTCATCGGCTGAACACCACAACAGCCTAAAAATGAATGAAACATACCTACTATCTATCGTACATATATCATGCCATTTAGGAAGTTAATCATGTATGTTATAATCAATACTAATTATAAATCATTCTTTATGTTTAAGTATTTCTTATACAGTTTTGCACTTCTTGCGCTACCTTAATTATTTCCTACTATGGTAAGAGATCGCTCGAAAGCGATAAGGTCCAAGCCCTTCTTATTATTTAATTATTGTACAGTATTTCCTGCAGCGAAGTGTAAATAAATAAAAAAAAGTAAACCTGAATCTGATTCGTTACGATATATTTTATTATTTTACGCAAAACACATAAAAGAAAATAAAGGGTCTTGTAGACATAACCAGTATCATTATCTCATTCACACTTGACAGAAGACATTTTTCAACACGAAGTGAAAGTTGACCACCTGTGTTTATTCGATCAACCTTTATATTTATTGATTGTACGATAACTGATAAACGATCAGCTATTTCGATGGGAAGGGGTATTAATTGCTTTATAAATAATAGAAAAACGAAAGGAGATTGCGTATACTACGCAAAGAGGTACAAAAGGGTGATTGAAGGTAAATTTGTAGCGTAATTTTCTAATTAAAAATATTTTTTTTACTATTACACTAATTCCCGCGTAACGTTGTCCATAGGTTATAAAAGCAAACCGCACAGGTTACGGTAAACAACTATGTTTTATACTCTGCACTGATTATATAATAATAACTACAGAGAATACAACTTTTTGAAATACTCTCTATATTATGGAACATTTAAATCCGTAGCCTGGTTTTGATATTTAAAGCTGGTATATACAAGCGACTCATAAACGTAGTGTACACTTATATAAATAATTTGTATGAACACTTGCTTAACATGTAGTCAGTAAATTATTAGGCCAGATGGATTACAAATTCCAATCATGAGGCTACACAGCAGACATTGTTAAAAGCCGACATTTCAGATTCCCTTACCTAAGTTAGGTCAAAATGTACAGCAGACTTGTTCTAATAGATTCCTCTTGAAAATGAAACCACTTAAATATTATGACGCAAATAACGTATGGTACTTTTATTATTATATTCTACCCTAGATGATTGAATTTACGACAGTGAAAGCGGTCAATAGAAAGTATAAGACAATGTTTCAATAACAAGCGGTGTTGTTACAACTATCATTACGTTGTTAGAAAATTGATACAATTTGTTACTGTTGCTAAATAATTGACGGGTCGCAAATGATTTCGTTTTCCTTGTTTTACCCAACTTGCTACATTGGAAGTGGGGAGATCTTCACATTTAATTATTAATAAACTAATTACTCAAATTTGTTTCTTTGTCATCGTTAGGTACTTACTGTATGCCTCATTAAAGTAATCGTTATAAGTTCATAATCTTAATTATAATGACATATGTATTTATGTTAAGAACCTTCATTCACTTTTGATAGTCATTGTTTTTGTTAACATCAAAGAAAATCAGTGGATATATGCTTCGATGTTCTGTGGTTTGTGCGCGGCATTCGTGATTACGTTTTGGAGGGAATAGTGGTGGTATTAGTGGTGTACAAATAGATTTAGGAGTACTTTTGTGATTTGATAAAAGTTTCTTTGTTATCACATTTTCCTGGTCTACGCAGCATCAGTAGGTTACCGAGTTAGCATTATATTTTCTACTATTTGGCGACATTTTATTTTACCTTATTACACATTTATACAGTACTTAAAATTTTGTTTATTGCGTCTAAATAGATACACGAATTCGGCAGTAAATCATTCTTTTATAAGGTGATGATTTAAACAGCTTATAACTTATGATAATAATATATCTAAGTATTTCGAAAAACCGGTCTTTGGTTTTCTTTTCTTTTTAAACTTATTATTATTTTTGTTCCAGGTACTTTTCATAACCAATGATGACGTGACAACAAATTATGCGGGAAAATAGTGATATGTCATAGTGACAGTGACAATTGAAATGATGGCGGCGTTATTACGATTAGTATGTGCATTAAGTGCTTTTGTGTGTGTGAATGGACATGTTGCTCTGACCTACCCACCGGCTAGGAAATATGATTTAGACTTTTTAGATAATTCAAGAACAAAACCGCCATGTGGAATGCCCAAAGGTAACATTAATTTTACCAAATATGGTCTTTATTATTTATACTATATACATAGATATTAAATGAGTAAATTCGTCACGGATCTGTGTCCACCAGCCACATTCAGAGTCGAATTATCAAATAATTATTATAGCATCTATAAAGGTCTTCTATTCTTTGCCGTGCTTTCAACCAAAAACTATCAAATTATATAACGTTTTGAATTAAGTATATAAGAGACTTAAGCACGAACGAATTTATATATTACACGTATCGTAGTCAAAGGACATGCTTTCTCTGTGCTTCCGTTAAGCTCCAAGCGTTCCAGAAGCGCATTTAAATCTAAAATTATCTAACTTCGATTCGTGCTAAGATTTCAGTCACCATCATCTCTATTTCGCTATCGCAATCTATTTCGTGTTTCTTGGGTCTTCCACCTATTGTTTCGAGGTTCTTGACAACTCCATCCCACCAACGCAGCCTCAGTCTACCGGTTTTCTTGCCACGAGGTTGTGAGTTCCCTAAGGACCTTGGGGTTCTGCCGTCCGCCCTTCGGTGTACATGTTGAATTTTAAGAATTGGACGATGATGGCGTCGTCAAGGATGTTATAAAGTATTTATTGTAGCGAATACGTCAAACATCTGCGAAAATTTTTTTTTTTAGCTCCTCTATAATAAGTTTATTACTACATAGTAACTTATTAGAAACTCGTGCGCTCTATGTTGGCATGTTTATAACATTTCTTCTTGATGCTTATGAAATCTTACGTAAGTATCATAAATTCAAATCAACCTGTAGCGGTGAGGTCGTGACCTAGCCTCAGCCTAGGTCATTAGCCTGACTCATCAACAAAGCCACGATTCAGATATAATTAGCGTAATTTGTGTTTTTTGATATAATACCGTGTCATTATATCAAATTTTTGTATATAATTATGATTTCGAACCAAGTAACTTTAATTATTAATTTTAACGTGTTTAAGAGGCAGGAGTCTAATTTACTAATAGTTAGTTACTATCTTCATAGGCACTCTGCCGTCTTATTAAAGAGATAATCAGGAGTTCTAGGTTGAGGGAATTTAAATATAAAAAAATAAGCTTCAAAACTTAATAGGCACATCAGGGAACAAAGATAATAATTATGTTAGTGTCCAAAGTCATAATCAAATATGGTACAAAAATATGTTTCCCTTTTCTGTTAATTCGTAAAGTGTATGATTTTAATAAAACAAATCAGTATTATCTAGGAATAAATACATTAATTTCACCGTAAATCCCATAGCAGTCGTGGCCGAGTGGTTAAGGCGTCTGACTCGAAATCAGATTCCCTCTGGGAGCGTAGGTTCGAATCCTACCGGCTGCGAATTATTTTTTGTAGATGACTCTTTCTTTGCTTACATAGAATATATTATTTTTATTAAGGCAGTTTTGTTATACTTATAGCAAAACAACCCTTGAGAGTTTAGAAGTAAGGTTTTTATTTTATTCAAATTTTGATTATGTTATACAATCACTGTTTTTTCTGATTACAAAAAAATAAATAAAGTCTAACCGCGAACTAATATTTATTAAAATTGAGAAACGGATAAAAACGCATGACTTGAATTATGCAATAGGGGATAGCTGTCATCCCCCTCTGAACCCCTCGACTGATTTTAATAAAATTTGTTTCCGTTTGGACGTATATATATTACAAAAAAGAGAGGTGACGCCGAGACAAAAAAGAGATCTTTCTTCGTTTATCACCTGTAAATAATTAAAAAAACAATTTACCTTCTAATATTTTATTCTCTCGTTAAACTTATACTATTAATCAATACGAACATTTATGTATAAAACCTTATTATTCATTGTACAAAGAAGTTTTATTTAGGAAATATCTCCACAAAGGGAAGCCATAGAAATATGCGCGCGCAGAACTGTAGGCTTCAAATAGGCTTCTTGTCCTTAACGTCACAAGACCGTGTGGCCTAATGGATAAGGCGTCGGACTTCGGATCCGAAGATTGCAGGTTCGAGTCCTGTCACGGTCGAAGTTATATTTTTACCATTGCTTTCATTTACTTTAAAAGTAGGTAGACAGTGCATTTATAACCGAAGAGATGCTGTCTGTGGTAGAGATGTTTTTAAATAAATAATGGTTAAAACTTACATATTTTGTAGACGAATTTATAAAATAAAAAAAGAATCGTTATAGATTATTATTATAGTATATATATATAACGTAAGAAGCATTTTATTATTAAATTTATATATATTATATATTGGTAGAACTCTGCCGCGACTCCTAGTTTTCTCATTTGTGACGAGGGAGGGTTTTAGAAGAGTTTGAGGTGTTATTTTTTGCTATTTTAAAAGAGTACCGAGAGTTTTTTACGCCGGCTTTTCTTTCGGCCTACACCCTCTGTCTTCTTTGCCGATGAGTAGGGATGCCTACAAATTCAAATTTAATGACGTGGAATAAGTGATACCTGTATCTAATGTTCCATAATAAACATTTTTTTTAGTCGGTACCTAATTCTTATAGCGCTGCCCACACTCTGTGCGGTAGTGTTCCCCTATCAAAAAGGTTATGTGAAAGAAAGAGTAATGGCGCAGTTTACAACTTTTATTGTATAAAACTATTACATATGTGATTATATAACTGTGTTCGTATTAATTACATGCAATTAAGTCATTTACTCTTAATGGTAGTCACGCACGCCTGAACATGTTAATCGATTCTATATGTGTGTACAGCCTTAGAGCAGGTTTTTCTTGTAGATAGGAATATATTACGCTACTGATAAATTATGTAAATTGTAGCACTACTGGAGTTGTAAGAAAGTCGCTTACTTTATTACGTCCTTGGTACATTACCCCGTATAGTGGAAAATCAATCAGAGTGTCCAAACTTGTCAAGCAATTGTTTTTATATAACACTCTGGCAGTTTCTTCCTAAATCCGTCTGTAAAAACCAACCTAGGAGTTCAGGCACCTCTGATTCAAATTCTTCGCGAATACAAAGAGATGAACGCTACTTATTCAGAGCTTGATACCGTATGGGCGGTGTGTACGGGTGACCAAATACGGTAGTGGGCTGATCAATTTTGAAAAAAAAAAGCGATGTTAAGCGCCTATCGGGGACCTAAGCCGCATTGCTTAGCGAATATATATTCTTAAATAGTAAAAACTAAAAGCTGTAGTTGTCAGTGTTATATTTTTATTATCTTTTGCAAAATTTATGTTCACCGTAATTGTCTTGTATTTATAAGATTGTAGCTTATAAGGTAGAAAATTTATTATATGATGTGGTGAACTATAAAATAAACAAACGCTCAAGTCGACATTGTGCAGATACAATTTTGCACATGGTGGTGAAAGAGTTTAAAATTTTGCCGTCATTTTGGGTTTACTAAAGTACATTTATATACTAATTATTTGTTGCAGGATCAATACGGACATCATTTTTAGCGGGATCGGCATTCACAGTACATTGGCATTTAGCATATGCACACCGGGTAACTATACCAATATTTCCTTGTTTTACTCACAGCCCGGCTAGCTCAGTCGGTAGAGCATGAGACTCTTAATCTCAGGGTCGTGGGTTCGAGCCCCACGTTGGGCGATTACTTTTGCCTTCTGAATTCGGCAAGTTTTTTATTTATGTTTGTTTTCGGAACGAATAAAGTATTGTTATAATATTAATTTAAGATGTTTTTCAAAACACTTTATAATTCTGTTTAAATATCGGATTTTATATGTAAATTTAATGGTACATTTTTTTAGGGTGGATTTAGTTTAAGAATATTGGATTACTTAGAGCGACCTCTATTGGATCTTACACCAAGAGCTGGCGGTTCCGAGTTTGTTCGTGATGATGTCACGTAAGTTTTATTTCTTAAGATATTTGTAAGATTATTATCCAAATAAATATACCAATATTCATCAAAATATTCAAGGAGAACTGTCGTTCGTGTAGTTATATTATGTATGTGTAACTATCAGTGTTATTTTTATCTTACTTTCAGGATGGTATCTGTGAAATAAAAAATAGAGTACCAAATCCTAAGTTCAATAAAAAAACTTAACACTTTATCTTACTCTCTAATCTATAAGAGCAACCAGACAGCGCAAACTATGCCTCCCGTCAAAATCAGATTTGGCTCTGTCTCGTATGAATCGCCCTAACCCTAACTTCTAAATGGTGCTTTTATTTATGCTACATATTTCTTACTTATTAGAATAATGCTTTCTGGACAGCCCCGTGCTTCTATTTATCTGGTCGCGGTTTTTAGATACTATTAGATATACTAAGTTTTAAAATTGCAGTGCTCAAAAGTACGAAGTGCATTTACCAAGTGACTTCACCTGTGAAAACTGCACACTGCAATTGCAAAGAGAAGCCGGAGAGTGGGGGGCCAACTACCGCTTCTGGTCCTGCGCAGACATCGATATACTACCACGTAAGTCTATGATAACATCAAAACTAACAGCTGAATAGTATAACTAGAGAGAGTAGATTTCGTATGGTTACGATTGTTCTAAACTATATCGATTTTATCAAAGCCTAATTCAATCAAAAAAGTAAAATATTATAACTCGGAAAACATCCTTTAAAAATTTAGTGGTGTTGTAAACAAAACTACGAATAATATGTATTTAATTCGAGTGTATTTCAAAAATGTTTTAATCTGTTGATATATTGATAAATACTCCTTGGCTTTAAAAAACAACTTTTAATTTTATTCCAATGTTTCCAGGTAAACAATTCCATGAAACGTGTTCAGGCAAGGGTTTCCACATCCTCGGTAGATGCAAATGCAATAAATTGCACAGTGGGGCGCGGTGCCAGTTCTCAGATGAATGTTCTGAGGATACTGACTGTGGTCTCAGAGGGAAGTGCGTGGATGTCAACGCTACAGAGTCTCCCAGTCGAATGTGCTACTGCCCTCACGGGTTCTATGGGAAGGGGTGTAATAAAAGTAAGTACCTCAATCCCAGTGCGAACGCTTAACTTTGTTTATGTATACTATGTTTATGTATATATGTGCTAAATGTAATATAACAATATTTTTTTAATAGAAAAAAATATTCAAATTATAAATCTTCTTGAATGATAACATGTTTCGCATTTATCACCTAGTGTTTGCAGAGCGCAGAAACTATTAATTTGTGTAAGTTTTATGCGTGAAAATGTAATATTTTATAAAAGTTTTGGTTGGTTTAATAAACATTTAGTATTAGGATGATAATAGGTAGGGGAAGGTCGGGACCCTTCGTACGGTTTTCACATTTTATTTTTTTATTATTTTATTTTTCCATGAATCAATCATCTGCAAGCTTAAATTTATAGTCTAACTATCTGAGATTCATATAAGAAAATGACAAATGATTTCATCTGATGGTTCAACCATAATTATGATTTAAACTAAATCTGGAAAACGTACGAATCTACCCCATCAACGGGGCACCTTCGTACAGTGTTGAGGGTACCTTCGTACGCTGTGGGGTAGTTCCGTACGTGCGATTAAAACGACACATATAAATCAAAATTCATTTATTAGCAATGAAATTAAACACAAAAATAAAGATTTAACTTCTAATAAACAAAAATAAAATACTTTAATTATAGTGAACAAAATTACATAGCTTTTCTTAAGAAAAGCAAAATTTAATTAGTTAGGTATCTTAAATTTAGAATCACATTCTTTAATCTTTGGTGCGGATTAGCACTTCTTATTTTCGGGTGTGGCAGTATAAATTCGTGGTTTTCCTGGCCGTCGTCATTTTGTTTGTTTTATTACTTCTTACAACATGCGTATAGAGTCGAAACCCTTAAGGTGTCAAAACTGACTTCGAAGGAACTACTATTTGATGGATTGGTAAATTATTCAAAGCATCTGGTTCACATGCATCAAAATCAACCTTAATAAAGATAATAAAAATAGGTAATAAAAATACATCGACGATAGCAATGATAGCAACACAGGACAAAGTTAATGGAAATATTAGAGCAATTAGCACACTAACACAATCTTTCCTACCTACCAGAGGGTTTAGTCAAGATGCCTTATTATTATTTGTATGTAGCAAGTCGAAAACTTAATTTGTATGAAAATTACAGTTCGTGTCGACAAAATATTTTCATACAAATTTAGTTGTACAATTCGTTCAAATGTGCCCCATCTAGTGCTGTCCGAAAGTACCCCACTAACTGAATAACAACAAAATATAACTTATTTTAATATTAATAGGAAAACGTCATAAATTAAGTATTGGAGACGTATCTAAGTATATTTTGCTAGTTACTGATAGAATACTCTACACGAAAACTTATTTTATCTACGGTAACAAGAGACAAAAACATTGATCAAAAAATTACTTACCGAGCGCGAAAACACGTCCATGCCTGTAACTTCATTCTCATCGGTGCGAATTTCGCGAAACTTCGATTATGTATAGTTCGTACCTCGACTCATGCACACATACAAAAACAAGACTGTACTTTGTTTCGTTCAAGTTTTATTTCGACTGTATGAATGTGCCCCGCGTACGAAGGGTAACAATCTTCCCCTATATACCAAAGAAAACATTTTGTTTCCGGGTCTACGATACACGAGCTCTAATTTCATAAAATTATTTTTAATTATACCTACTTTAACCAACCTTTAAATTTTCAGAGGCTCCATGGAAAGACAAGGCATTGAACCTAGGACTCTACAGCAAGAGGGAGTTGTCAAAGGACTTCTTCCTCTACTGGCGCGTGATCAGGGACCTTCAGGAGATGGAAATCGTTATGATGGTTAACGGGACTTCTTATGCAGGTAAAATTAATTTAATAATTCCATATGTAAAATTTTGTTCAAATGTTTTTTTAATATTAGCAATTGTGTCATATATTTCTAATATAAAATCCTTTCAGCTTTCATGTATTCTATTATAATCTTTTATTTATACTTTTTTACAATTTTAGCCGTTGGGTGGCGCCCTCAAGGTTTGAAGAAGGAATGTAAAAACTTCCCAGTGTTGGGTTCACCACCTGAAACACGTAAGTATGATCATATAATTATTTCATAGAAACATGACTACTTTTTTAATTGTGTCCCATACACTTTCAATGATAAAATGGAGCAGCGTTCCAAAATGAGTGCCAATCTGGGTTCATCATCTACATTTATATTGTTTACGAAATGCGTGACCACTTGGCCGCGTATTGGTTTGTGCAATGTCTGAATTACATGACTTTTTTAACAGCCAGTTAACATTGTTCTCATCAAGATTATTTTTTATTTATTTCCAGAATCAGAGCCGTTGCCAAAACCAGAGCCAAAATCAGAGCCGGCACCTAAATCGGAGCCAGAACCGTCACCTGAGCCTAAATCAGAACCGCAACCAGAGCCAGAACCCAGCCCGGAACCATCGTCAGAGCCTGAGCCTACACCTGAACCTAAAGCTGAACCTTTACCCGAACCAGAGTCACCAAAGTCAGAGCTAACATCTACATTAGAACCAAAGCCCGAACCATCTTCGACATCTGACGAAACAAGTACTGAAGCGTATAACTATGAAAACGACCGAAATAAACGCGTCGCAATGCACACATTGGACGGTTTCGACTTTAAGAACCTGGGAAATGATGTTACTGTTAAAACCAGTATTTCCTACAAAATTTCGAGTTCAAAAGGTAAGTTTTCATTTAATTTGTGAAAATAATCAGGCAAATTACCTTTTAAACAAGAATTGAAAAAATTGTCTTTCTCAAACTTAAATACTATTTTTCAGGACGCAAAAAACGTGCTGCTCAAGAAATTGAAAAGTCAAGTGAGTGGTATCTACAATTGTTATTTTAAAGCACCATACTGTACAACACACGAGTGCTAAAACTCACAAAGCTACGCCAGACACAATATACGCACAACTATTCTTTCAAATATGCAAAACTAACATATTACATGTATCACGTAATGTACATATAAATGCATGGTTACGTTATTTTTACAGATGTGGAAACATCGACCAGTTTTATAGACCATGAAACTGCAAATTATCCAATTCCTTTACCAACAAAACCCACCGTAGAATTGCCGCCTCCGACTAAATATAAGCCATTTAAACCAAAGATTAAGCTAGGTCCAAGACCCCTATTGATTTCTCCTCAAGAATCAAAAGCTACACCTAAGCCTCCATCACAACCTAAAACAGAACCAGAACCAAACCCTGGTTCACAATCAGAACCAGAACCTTCTCCTGAACCTAAAGTAGAACCAGAACCTTCTCCTGAACCTAAAGTAGAACCAGAACCTTCTCCTGAACCGAAAGTAGAACCAGAACCTTCTCCTGAACCTAAATCGGAACCAGCCCCTTCTCCCGAACCTAAATCAGAACCGCATTCTTCTCCTAAACCCATAGCAGACTTAACGCCAACAGTAAATACGGACTCCGAATCTTCACAGGAACCAAAATCCCGTCAGCCTAAATCTAGAACAATTTCTATTAAAGAACCTACCTCTGAACCAAAATCAGAACCTGAGCCCAAACCTGAACCGAAATCTGAACCAGAACCTGCTCCCCAGCCAGAACCAGAGTCCTCTCCTGAACCCACATCCGAGCCAGAATCTACTCCAGAACCAAAAGCAGAACCAGAACCTACTCCTGAGCCTAAGTCAGAACCAGAGCCTACCCCAGAACCAAAATCAGAACCAGAACCTTCTCCTGAACCAAAAGCTGAACCTGAACCTACTTCCGAACCTAAAGCTGAACCTGAACCTACTTCCGAACCAAAAGCTGAACCTGAACCTACTCCCGAACCAAAAGCTGAACCTGAACCTACTTCCGAACCAAAAGCTGAACCTGAACCTACTTCCGAACCAAAAGCTGAACCTGAACCTACTTCCGATCCAAAAGCTGAACCAGAACCCACTTCCCATCCAAATGCTAAACCAGAACCTTCCGCTAAACGTAAGTCGGAGCCAGAACCATCTCCCGAACCAAATTCAGAACCGACACCCATTCCTGAACCTGAATCAACTCCTGAACCAACATCTGAAATTGATCCCACTCCTGAACCTAGCGCAGAAGCCGATGCAGAGAATTTATTAGTGAAAGGCCTATATGAAGAAACAGGTAATGCACTCGCTTCGCTTTATAATATTTAATCAGGTGTTCTTCAAAACTATTTATTGAATAACAAACCAAAAATAATCTTTCATAGTTAAACCTTTTGGACTAAATGTTGTGATTACGTTTCAACAAATGACGAGCAAATTTCAATAATTGACAAAATTTCAGTTATACTTAGTATTATATTTCAAACATCCATATTACTAAATGAAAAGATATTTTTTGCAATACATTGTTCATGTACTATATTTTTACCTGATTTTATATTATACGTGTTTGCTTTATCATTTGCCTATATTTCTTATATATATATCTAATATTTATGTAAATAATATTTTAGTATTTACTATTGCATTTACTTGAACCGTGCCTTTGTTGATGTAATGTATTTTATGAAGCTATGTTAGCTTAAACTTAGATTCATAGTTTATGATTCCATGTACTATATAATGGTATGATTTACCAAATGTATACTATTAGATATACGAGTATAATAACATACGTATTAAAAGGTATGATTTTTAAATTATGTTTGGTTTATACATTATTATTATGCGCATGTGTGAGATTATCTCAATAATTGCTAATGCTATAATACGCTTGTGTGCTTTATGTTGTATCCCCTTCCTTCTCCTAACTTCTATCCTCTTCTTTCTCTGTCTTCTTCTTTAAAGGATTTTTCAACTTTTTTAATACTCCATCTTCAAGTCTAATATTGTCATTGTTGGTGAGATGTCTTAGATTAAATTCACGTGTCACCCTACAAACTGTTACGTTAAATAAGTCAGAAATAATCGTGTATTACTGTAATTGACAGTCAATACATTCTTTATAAAAGATTATGTAGTATGTGCACTTTTAATTACGGGGTACCGTATGCTACCTTTTTATTATTAAGAATAAAAAATCTATTAGAATATTCTACTTAACTAAGTACACAGAAAATATATTGATATCATATTGTTGCTAGAAGAACACAAATGAGTCTACATTGTTCATCATTTGTATATAGTCCATATATTCTTTAACTTTCTTTCTCTGTTAAAATATAATAAACAACATGTTGCTAATTATACGAGGTTATAGGTTATTTCCCATCTCACGAGTACGTGCCTAAATTCGACTTTAATCCAATGGACTGCACGGATATAGTTATCGGAACTGCTAGAGGGAACTATCATAGGGTCTTGGATTACTATACAAGGGACAGGTAATATTCATTTACTATCTTAATATATATATAAATTACGTGTCACGTTGTTTGTCTGTTATGGTCTGCTAAACTACTGAACCGATTTCAATCAAATTTGCACACCGTGTGCGGTTTGATCTTACTTAAAAGATAGGATAGCTTACATCTCAATTTATACCCGCAATATTATTTTATTGCAAAATATTTGTTTATTATTTGATAGTCACAATTCTAACGAATGGCGCTGTGTTGAAAGTACCAACGTTTCACATAAGCTACAATGGCCATAACCACCAAAAAAGCATGTTGGTCCCCATGACTGGTGTTCTCCTACCGTTTCCCTTGAATAGTGTACCACTATGTGATATTAACAAAATCCTTAGCCACAGCAACGCTTGGCCGGTCTGCTAGTACTTTATATGTTCGAAATTTCTACCTTAATAAGGCACCTTATGGAGTGGAGTGGTGACTATGATAATTCCACAACTTAAGCTTACCAATAGGCAATATGAAATAGAATAACTTTTTATAGTGATCAAATAAATCCTTGTTTTAAATTTCTGTAAATAGATAAATATAGGAAATAGATGTTTAATATAATTTACGGAATTGACAGGAAGTTTAGGATTTTATCTTCATATTTAATAGACATATATAAAGTATCCTTAAAAAGGCAATATTTTTTATTATTACAATTTGAATTTTTCAAAACATAGATTAAGTTTAATTATCATGTAAAATATATAATTATTGTGATCATTATACGTATCAATTGTAGTATAATGTTTAATAAAAGTTATTTAATTATTTAGTTATAATGTATGAATCGCATGTTCCTACGCATACAAAGCTCAATGATATTTGTAACTTCAGGTCGACTCCCCGAGTGGACACATTCTGGGGTGGTCATGACGATATCACGGCTTCGTCAGGGTTTGAAGAAAATGGCGTAACTACTATAATGTTCAGAAAGAAAATTAAGGTAGCTACTACGAAAACATTTAAGAGAGGTTTAATTTGTCTAAAACATTAAAATATATGAGTTGGGGTATCTACTATTATAGATAACTAAATGGAAGAATCAGAATACGGTTGTACAAATTATAAATCTTAACGCAACGTGAATATCTATCTATCTAACCATCAGTTTAATATATTTTTATTTTAGCATAATATTGATCGCCCCATTAAATTTCATACTTAAACTTTTTAAGAGATCTAAAAAAATTATTACTTGATTTTAGAGTTAATTTACATCGTTATGGAACATTGGAATCAATAATACAGTTACTATTAAAACAATTTAATTAAAAACAAAATTCCAGGCTAAAGAACCAACAGACCATTCCTTAGTGGATGATCTGATGCACGTGATTTGGGCTCGTGGGCAGGAGATGGGCAGATATATCCACGCACCGCCCGCGGGACTCACGCAAGGCGACTTCTACCGCCCCGACGAGCTCAAGTACCACGGTCACGGAGACCAGAGGGGAGTTGTTGCTATGAACTTCTTCGGTAAGGGTCAATTATTACGGTTATTTAAAAATTATATGCATTAATTTGAGGTAGTAAAAGATGTGAAGACTCAGGTTATTATTTTGTGTAACAAGGGAACAATATAAATCGTGCAAATTTTCGATCTTGTGTATCGGTGCATTAACAGGTCAGTTAAATTGACCAAATTTTCAAATAATAAACACGCATTTGTCCTAATTTCGTTTATTGTCATAGGTTATTTAAGTAAGATTAGTTATTCAAGCCATTTTAAAAGTCGTTTGTTATTGCTTTCAAATTTTCAAACGGAAACCAAGCGGGCAGTACCTAACTCTATATTAGCTATTGCGTGCTTCCGATCACCAATTTTAATACGATTAATGGTTTAGAAACAAGCTATATATAAATATATATATCACAAGCTGTAATATGTATATATATATATATATATGTTATAGATTCGCTTATACAAGATGTTTTATGATGTAATTTTTCTTATATTTCAGAAGAGACAAAAACGTCACTATCGGGCAGCATTAGTTCTTTAGAGAATAACAAGTGCGGAGCGCAGTTTAAATGGCCTACAGATTGTGATGTCGCTAACAACACTTGCGACTACGTTGCATCTTGGGAGTATCTAGGACAGAAGAGAGGAAAGGATTCTATTCGATTCACCATCATCACCAAACAGACTAAATATTGGACCGGAATTGGGTTCAGTCGGGATCAAAAAATGGTGAGATCAATTAAAGGAATCCTTTCTCTGACCGTTATTTAAAAACTAAGTTTACCTTACCAATACCAATTATTTGTAATTGTTGTAAATTTACCAATTATTTCAAATAATTGGTAAAAACTATTAATTTTTTTTCCTTGTTTTATACCTATACCTATTCTATTCTATTCCGGGGTAGCCTGTCCCATCTCTTCGGAAAACATCTGCCCATCTTTTTGCCTTCTCTTGGATTTTCTAATATGTGTTTAGGCCATTAAGTGCCATATACTGTTCTATTTTACTTCCTTGTATTTTTGTATAAAATTACTTATATTTTTGTGTATTTTTTTAGTCAACATGTCAATTAAATTTCCATATTTCCGTCACATATGCAAGATATGTGAAGTTTCTTTGTTTTTCATTATTCATTTTAATAATAAATTATCGTTCTATTAAGACGTAAAAGTTTAAACTTAATAATGCGTATACAATAATATAACATAATAAATAATTAAACAATTTCTAAATAAATTATGAATAGTTTTAAAGACATTGTATAATCGTGTTTAACATAATGGCAATTCGGATTGGCGTCATTAACGTAGAAATGTTACTAGACACACATTGTAGACTTCTAAAGAAATAATTGTACTTTACTGTGAAACGGTATAATAAACTAGTAGCCACTAGTAGAAAAATATCATATTTTTCATTAATAAATTGTTTTAGTCTCAAACCGACGCAATACTTGGCTGGGTGGACAGTCGTTCTGGTAGACCGTTCGTTGGCGACGCCTGGCTTTCTGGATACGCGGCACCGAGGTTTGACTCCCGGCAGGACATTACCCAGGCAAAGGGGGAAACATCGGACGGGTTCACGACTTTGAGTTTTGTGAGGAAACGAGATACTGGGGATAGTAAGGTGAGTTAACCATCACAAAAAAGAGAGTATAGTGAGAGTGTGTGATTAGCTACACTTGGTCCTGCCTTAGATCACACATAAGACATTTATTTACAGTTTTGACGGCTCATTGGTCTAGTGGTTAGTACCCCTGACTGCGAATCCATGGGTCTCGGGTTCGAACCCCGGCTGAGACAAACATCGATGTGATGAGCATTTGGTGTTGTGCTTAGGTCTTGGGTGTTTAAATATGTATTTATATGTGTTAGGTCTATCTATGTATAATATGTATTTATATCCGTTGCCTAGTACCCATAACACAAGCTTCACCAGCTTAGCATGGGACTAGGTCAATTGGTGTGAATTGTCCAATCATAAAAATAAAATAAAAAAGTTTTCATAAAGAGTTATAATTTAAATTAAAATATATAATTTGTAACTAAAAAGTCTCTACTTTGTGCAAATTTCTAAAATCTGCTAAACAAAAATTAATTTATCTATTTCATTTTTTTATTGAACTTTTCAGGATCTACAATTTACGGACACGGAATGTCTTTACTTGATGTTCGTGACGCAGGGCGGCAATTTCGACGCTGTCAACAAACGGACAAGCAAACACCAGCAAGTACCCATCGTCACTGATGACAAGATATGCATTAAGCCTTGTGGACCAGGTACAGGAATTTCATATATTTAACTATAATAAAATAAAATATGTTTATTATGGAATATAAGATACAGGTATAACTTATTCCACGTCATTAAATTTGAATCGGTAGACATCCCTACTCAAAGAAGAAAGAGAGTGTAGGCCGAGAGAAAAAGCCGGCGTAAAAAACTCTCGGTACTCTTTTAAAATAGCAAATCATCAAATAACACTTATTTTAAAATAAATAAATTAATTAGAAGTATCCTGTCTAGCACTAGTTCCAGGCCCTTTTATTAACTAGATAATCGTTAACTTTTTGGTAAGCTTTTCTATAATACATTTCTTAAATTTATTAAAAGGCAGAGATAAAAGAGCCTCTGGGGTTTTATTAAAGAAAAGTATCCCTTTGCCCAAAAAAGAATTACTAACTTTAGATAGTCTAGTACGGGGAAATTGCAGCCTGCATTTGTTCCGAGTATTAACATAGTGCGTATGTTCTATTCTAGTACACTTATCACTATTTTTGTATACATACATAATACATATTTTCATAAGTATATCGCGAGGGTAAGGTAAGATAATATATATGGATAATGTGTGACTCTGTCATTGCAACGCTGAAAAATTTAATAAAATAATTTTATTTTTAGAACCTATTGAAGAAGAACAAACAACAGAAGCAATAGTTCCTGGCTCCCACACGTATGCCCTGCTCATCCGGATAACGGGTCTGGCTGACAGCTTCAGGCCTCCAGCTGCCGCTAGCCCAGAATACGAGGAACTGGCGCAAAGGGTCGTCAACAGCTTGGCTGGAGAATTGGCCAGGACGAAGGGGTACAAGGATGTCAAAGTCAACGGATTTATGCAGTGAGTAAATACAAATATTCTATTATTATATACAGGTCGTATTATTTAAACAATTTTTTTTAAATTTATTTATTTAAAGCTTATGTATGGCCAAATTTCAACTAAAATATTATAAACTATTATTATACAGTTAAGTTATTTTACCCCATACGCTTCACTAAATATAGAGGTCGCTCTCCGACGAAGAGTCGACAAAACTATTAAGGTTAACCATTTTAGGTTTAAATACTAATAAATAAATAATTTACAAATATATAGTGAAATATGGATTCTCTTCTTTATAGGCAAGCCCTTCATAGCAGGATCTTTTGCGACCTTAAACTATGATAATTTCAACTGTTTTTTTAATAATAAGGGCTATTTTTTCGGCCCTTTTTATCACAGCGTAAAAGCAATTTGACAGAAAGAGACAAAAGAATACCTTAGTTAAAGCGATGCATTTGATTGATTCCATTAAGGGGGTTCATGTTTAGGTAACAATGCTATATATTGCATTGAATTATTTCAGAAACGAAACAAAGGCAATACTAGCAGAATTAACTTTAAAGTCCATCGAATCGAACCTCATAGAAGGCAGCGCTCGGTCATTGGAAGGTTCTCCAGCACAGAACGAGACAGAAGATGACACAGAGAAGTGGGAAAGGGCAGTCAGGGACACATTGGCCAAGGGACGAGTTGGGAACTTAAATGTTGACCCCGAGTTCTTGGTCTTTGCTCCGGAAAGCTGTAAGTTTTGTTTTATTAAAAAAAGAGTGAGCTTCTGCCTCAAAAGCCGGCAACGCATTCACTATTAAAAAGTGTTGCGGTAGTTACCTCATATAGCCGTCGCGTATGCACCTTTATTTTGTAAAATAAACTGTTACCTAAATTTTTATTGACTTTGTATGCAGTTTAATACTTAATATACGTATATATATATATTTAGTTAGAATTAAAAATTAATATAATTTGTACTAAAGTAGAGTATTCTATAGTAAATACTCGTAATAATATTACAATTATTTAATTCGTTATTACTAATTGTTGGTTTAAGAAATAGTAATAATTTTAACGTTTAATGTAAAGCTAAAATAATATTTAATTAAATGATTTCATTTGATGATGATGGTGACATTTTAAATTGAAAATAATTTATAAAACTTATATGTATCTTTCACCCCACAGTAGTGATAAGCGGGAATGAAGAGAAGATATCGGAAGGTGGTTTCGGGTCTGCAGCACGGCTTTGGGTGGTGGTAGGATGTGTCGCCGCATTAGTTCTGTTAGCTTTAGTGCAGGCTGCCTGTACTCTGGCACACTCTACCAGAGATAAACATAGAAAGGTAAACAATGTTATCTTATCGTTATACTGTTTAATTCTAATGTTATTCAATATGAAGATAGATTAAAATCGTTTTGTTGTAAATTTTAATAATAGAAGGCATCCGAGGTATCAGGATTTCTTAAATACTTTGCATAGAATGTTTTAAAATTCCTCCATTTCTTCAATTTTATTTTTTTTAATTGAATAAAGTATGGTTCAATACTAAAGCTAAATTGAATCATAATATTGTATTATAGTATTAGATGACGCGGCGAACTTATCACCTGCACGTATTTGTGTCAAATTTTATTACAAGATTTTTAAAACCAACCAAAGATAACAAATATTTATTTCTAAAAACACATCAAATATTTCCTAGGAACAGTTTTCATAAGAAAATTCTATTGTGTTTTTCTTTCACATCGTTTAAACTTTCTCTGAACTTCCATAATTATTTCAAGATCATTATTAGCCAAATCAGTCCAGCTATTCTCGAGTTTAAGCGAGACAACGAACAGCAATTCATTTTCATACATACATATTATATTCTACAGAGATGTTCAACGCCATCTTTTGGCGAAAAAACGTATCAGTTTATGAACCACAGAAAAATCATCACGTTATGTACTATACATTTTTAAATAAACAGAAGGAAAATTTAGTTTGATTTTAGTAAGAAACCTCTTAACAACTTCCAGGACCGTCTAATTCCACAAACTGTTTGGAAAGACATAACCTCAGCCAACACGAACTACGCGTTTGAACCGTTCGAAAACGACGAAAAATTTAACTCTTCCCGCCCGCCCACGAGACCTACTTCCCCGCCCCCTCCCAGACCTGACCAAGCACGGAACGGTCACAGTGGCCAGAAAAATGGAAAAAGCAATGGGAATAATGGTCATTTTAATGGACACTCGAATGGGCGTGTGGTTAAAACTCCCACGGGGACTGCAAATAGGAAGCTCCAAAATAGCGCGGCGCAGTATTATAATGATACCAGGTCGTTGCAGAGACCTAGGAGTCAGTATGGGTGAGTGTTAGGAAAATATTTGTATATACATATGTATATTTAATATATTAAAGAAATACTTTACAATGTTTAAATGCGATAACTTTTACAATCAATATTTGGGATTTAAAATCTTAATCTCGTACTATAAATTCAATAACACATATTTTATTTTTACTCGAGTAATTACTTAGTTGATAAAAGTTTTTATCTATTTTATCGTATTATATTTCATATCATATATTATAAGTTAATATTTGTTAACACATTTTTATTAGAATCTAGAATGTACGTGATTCTTTGTATAGCTTGGCTTAACAAGTGAAATGTTGACCCCATTTTTAGCTTTGAAAGCTTTCATCTCAAAAGCCTATTCATTCAAGTACCTTGTTATGACAAATTAACATTGAATAGGTTTTAGTATTTCGCAATCGTATCCATGCGACCGTGTGGCCTAATGGATAAGGCGTCGGACTTCGGATCCGAAGATTGCAGGTTCGAGTCCTGTCACGGTCGACCAATAATCTTTTTAAATTTATTTTTCGAATTGCTTTGGACTTATTTTGTGACTTTTATAACTTTTTTAAATATATAATAATTACCCCAAATCATTAAAATCATTCAATTTTATTCTCAAACTCTAAAGAAAAATATTTACATACATCTACTACATACAGCATACTAATCGATATTATAAATCAATCATAATTAGCTACGGCCGGCCAGAGCACAGCAGCTATTCTCTTCCCCGAGGACCACAATCTCCTGCTTCAGTTCAAAGCGGTCACAGCGGAAGGTCCCGGGAACCGGCGCAACCAGATTTCTACTTCATGCCTTCGCAGAGGAAACACGAAGGTGAGGTTGTACGGGTGTACGTTACCCCACGAGATTAGAACATAGTATTTATTATAAGATTGGTCTTTACAATAAGGTGTAATATAAATATACAAGTTATTTTTTAAATATTAGTACAATTAAAATAATTAACCGTATGTATTCAGTGAAAAAATATCATTGATATGAAAACGATGAAAGGTCTAAATTTTTCTTTTAAAATCAAGTTAAGTACATTTTTATTTATTCAATACTTATAATTAATTGTAGGTCAGTTATATGTTTCAAATAAGTAATTTACTAAAGTACCTTATTATTTGAGTCGGTTTAAGTCACGCTGACTCCTCCATTGGCCAGTTTATTTTTATAAATGTAGGTATATAATTGATTTTATTGTGTTGTAAAGCATAAAATGTATAATTATAAGAGAAAATGTATTGCTGAGGTTCACAGCTTTAATTATTACATTGCTGTGTGCTAGACTTATGTTAAATTATCATGTTATTTTTTTTTTCATTCATATTTACTAACATTTTTTCCTTTTTCGTTTATTAACAATGGTACTTACTCATAAACCATCCGCAGTTCAAAATCATAGAAGTTGATAAGGTTTTAATTTAACAAATTTAAAAGAACGTCTTGTGAATAACGGTGAAGGCTGTGTTTAATAATATTTTCTTTTTACAGAATTTTGATGGCGAATCGAAAACTAACATTAAGTTACCATAATTTCTTCCGCACTTCATACAAAACAGTTCTAGTCTTGTGTCACAGTTTTAAATTAAGTTCAGCTCGCCTCATCATTATATATTGTTATTGATTATAATAAGTATTAAACATTACATTAAAAGAAAATTTTTAACGTTAAATAATTTAGTAAAATTAGCTATGTTTAGGGTCTGTTTCACAATGTACGGATAAGTTCTAAATAAGTTCCAAATAAGCTATTTATTACTTATTGGAAGGATAAACACTATTGTTGCGTTTCACGACTGTCAGATAGCGCTATTCGTTAAATAAAGTCCATCATAAATTGTGAGTCCGATGAAGTGTCAAATAGCACAATTTATCTTCCAAATAATGTATGTGTTGCATAGTTATTTGGTACTTTATCCATACATTGTGAAACAGACCCTTAGTATTTTTGCCCCTCCGGTGGTATTACAAATTCTACCTGGTGAACTAGATGGCGCTACTCGCGCATCCAATGCTTTTAATTCAATAACAATATATTTTGGAGAGGCAAGTACACATTCATTCGACTGCTCAGATGGCATCTTGCTATATTTGAATGTGTACGTGTTGTATATAACGCTGTAAAATAAGGCCTATGTGTTTAACTTTCTTGCGGTGGACTGAGGTTATATTCTACATACAAAAAATTATATTACATATCAATTTTGTTCTCCTTTGGTCTACGCAAGTAATAAATATAAAATTATGCGGTAGTCGGTGATCATGAGCTCGTAAAAACTCGTTTTATGTTAACTGGCTTAGTCTTAAAAATTATAGTTTGATTTTAATCGTTTTAGAGTAACTGTCTTCCTCAATATAGAATTTTCATGTCTATGGCCACCTCACTTTTCAAATGAATTAACTGTTTCTGTCCTAATAAATCAAACTTCGTTCATACCATTAATTAAGAGTTTTATTATTTGCTTTGACGGTTACATAATTATCGTGCATGACATAAGGGCTCCCCAAATTCTTATTCATCTTTATGTAATATAATTTAAAAAAAACCTTATCCTATTTTCCTTAATTAATTCTCTCATCTGTATTTTTCTTGACTCCCTTTTATGTCCAATATACCATTTATTTACGAAGCCCTCTTAAATATTATTGTAATTTATTTATTGCAGTTTTATAACCTCAGTTTCTACTTTCTATAGAATAAGTTAACCGTCTTCCACGAAAGATGGCGTTGGTTCCATGAACAGGCGCCATCTGTTATTTGTATGGTGCTCTAGTTGGAGGTTGAATGCTCATTTTATAAATTGAATAAGGTAGATATACTTTGTGTATAAATTTATTTTTAATGCTTTTTATTGAAAGCAGTCTTTATTAAGCTTAGAATCAAGGTCGTAGTGTATACGTAACTTACGAAATTAATTTTATGGCGGCTGTACACTATCGTTATATTTTAATCTTATGATTGGGGTCCAAAATAACGCGACATACTCGCTTGTGATGTCTATGGCATGTACAGCCGTCAAGTTTGATATATTGAAATATATCCAAATTGGTTGCCAGTAAAATTTATGTAACAAAATATTAAAATTGTCTACCAAAATAGTTAGATATAATTAATACAAATATATAATATAAATAAAAGGGATAATCAGCTAATATATGAATAAGATAATTTATAATAATTCCATAGTGTAATTATTGACAGAGTATTAATAATAAAATAATCAAGACCAAACCATAGATTTATTAATAAATGTATTTTAGTACAATGTGTTTTCTTGTTATTCATAATATATCACCCAGGTGAAAAATATTTAAATATTTCTAGTCAAAGTACATGTTTAACTCTCAACAATTTTTTTTTAACATTTTAACACTAAGTATATAAAATTTATAAAAAACCCAAACTATCACAGTTAATATCATAAAACAGCTTATTATTGCACCATATCCATTAATTAAAAATAACATAGTATAAATCTTAATATCATTTTTTTAATAATATATTTGTGGCATCCCCAAATCCCATCGTAAAATTGATTACATAAAAGGCAATTTACATCAAAATTATACAGCCTTACACACGTAAAATTACAATAATATCAGTTTTTGACAGCCGAAAGCGTCGATTTTTTTAAAAGAATAAGATATTTGTTATTTATTAAAAAAACAGGAGTTTTTTGTGACGGTAATACAAATTGGTCACAATTTTTGGTTTTCAAAAACAACATTTAATACTGTAAAAATGAATCAATCTACCAACTATCCATTACCATATTATTACCAATTACTTAAGCATATTAAAAGTGTAAAATGACTCTAATAAAAATCTCTGAAATTACTATATATGGGTGAATAATTCTTGTATTAAAATAGTTACTGCCGCACGATAAAAATATCGACACAGGACGATATTAACCGGAACATTACTGACTTACCATTGTAGCGTGGTTTCTGTCCACACAATTAGTATAGACTATAGAAATTCGTGTTCCCGTTTAGTTCCAAATACGGTTACTCTTTTAAGATAGTCAAATGTCGACAGAAATATCATTGAACGAAGTTTAACGGCCAAAGGAAATGGCAGCAATAGATTTTATGAGCGACATCTATGAACCATAACCACAAAATGTTTTCACATAAAGGAATGTCTTATACGTATATAAGTATCATCATAAAAGTTACGTCTGGACTGGACCTTTTAAAGGTTTGCTTTCGCTCCCATCACTTGCTTGCTTCTAAGTCGCCAAGTATCCTGAAAAAAAATTCTGAAGTAAATCTGAAGATTACCAAAAATTATTCTTTTCGGACACTGTTTTTTTACCTACCTACTGTTTTCTTTACCTCATTAATGTCGATATTAAATATAAATTTGTTGTTAAGGGTTTTAGGCTCAAAAGCTGATCACCTATATTAATAGTAATTACTTAGCAATCACGCAACCGGGGCTTCACTTCAAAAATGTAAAACTAAATCGTAACTATAATATGCGAAAATGCGTTAAAATATCGATGTTTTGTCTCGTTTATTTATTTGCAGTATCACACTAGTGATAAGGACTAGACATTCAAAAGAGGTAATTTATTTTGTTAATAGAATAGATATTTACCACAAAAGAGAGGTCAAATCCTCTTCTTTGGGCTTCGTTCTCAATATCTTTGGCGGCAACCTCTTGGACAGTCCCACCCACGTCCACATACTGGCAGTAACCGCTGGCGTAGTGAACCGTTATCGACTTGCGGTAGAACTGAAAATAGTTCATAATTAAACTTAGAATTAGGGAGCGTTCGAGTATTACTTAACGAATTTTTTCCTTTTGTAAAACGTTACGATTTTTGCGGGGATTGAATTACGCGTTATTGTTAATATTATTTTCGACTTTCCAGTACTTTACAGCGCATAATTGTAACTTTTAGCCAATAAAGAGTCACTGGGTGGTCACGAAACGTTTTACTATTGGGTACAGAAAAACGCGTAATACACGGGAGGGGTCAATAATCTCCAAAAATTGCGTGAAGTAATACTTGAACGCTCCCTTAGTCAAAGTCAAGACAAAAATCCTTGGAGCAGTGAGGTCGCTACGTGCATCCTGCGGAGTGCCCAGGAAACTTCTGAGCTTCTGGAAGGAGGCTAGGCCGGCTTAGTTTTTTTTTAGTAGTAATTAAAGCACATCGGACCAAATCTGCGTCTAAGTGCGTATACTGAGTCCACACACTAGTGGAAGTTAAAATATAATTTATAGTTTCAAAACGTTAAACTACTAAATATTTCTAAATTTACATTTACGAAAGAATAAAAGTTTTTCCTCTGAGTTGTGGGCGAAATAAGAGCGAGATCTTTCATAACAGTGAGATTACGCAAAAAAAAAATTTATATCCAACATTTCTGCAAGAGGAAGAGCAGTGTTTGCCTTTGGCTTCAGAGAGAGACTCTCATCCCTGATGACGTAGATTCGATCTGGGATCCGGCTGTGCACCAATGGGCTTTCTTTCTATGTGCCAATTTAACATTCGCTCGAACGGTGAAGGAAATCATCGTGGGGAAACCGGCTTACCTTAGACTAAAAAAGTCGACGGCGTGTGTGTCAGGCACAGGAGGCTGATCACCAACTTGCCTATTATATTGAAATATGATAATGAAACAGATACAGAAATCAGAGGCCTAGACTAAAAAAAGGTTGTAGCGCCACTGATTTTTTTTATTATTTTTTTATGTCAACAATACTTGTACGTCATTACAGTACGACAGATATTTTTAAAATTATCTTGATAATATAGAAAGAAATTCGTAAGATCAACACCTTCCGATTTTCTCAAGGTTTTCCTCACAATACTAGCAAGGGTAAATTGCGTACGTGGAAAAAACC